AAAAAACGTCGTGCTCTTCCTGGCGCCGTCCGAAATCATCACCAAGGATTTCATATATTTTCTGCACACCTTCACCGTCGATCGTTTTCTGCGCGCACTCATCATCTACTTCGAGTACTATCTGAAAATGGTGGAGTTTGTACTGATACGACGGGATGAGATTACCGGCGACAAGGCGCAAATACAAAGCGAAGACACCAACGAAATCAAGCGCATATACTCGGAATATCTCACTCAGCATCGCCTGCTGCTGGCACGTGAATATAGCACCATAATAATGGGCGAGGGCGAGATGAAGCGCTTCTACCACATCACGCCAATCGTTAACATCTCGCAGTCTATAAAAGATAAGCGCTTTTACGAAACTTTCTTGGCATTCTCAACGCAAGTGGTGTGGATTGCCATGCATCGTCGCGCCTATGACTACATCGATTTGGAAATGTATCGGCTCTTTCGCTCGGAGCACTTCAAACTGAAGCGATATGCGCACATTAACTTCACCCAAGCCGAGGCCAACATGCTCTACGGCAAGAACTATAAGCGTCGCAATTATCGCACACAAAACTCGCCACTGATACAGGAATTGGCAAATGTGGCAACGGAAAATTTGCCTATATTGTGGATTGGTGAACGCAAGTATCGCGGCACTGATCTGCGCGTTCACCAGATGGAGCTGGAGTACATTGTGCCCGATAGCCAGCTGATCTTGATCGACACATGTCACGGCATACTCGGGCATCCGAAGAAAATCTACGACACCATTTTGAACATGAACTGGGAAGCGGTGCGTTTTCAAAACTACTCGGAAACCTATGATCCATATCAAATAAAGCGCCAGCCCGCACTGAAGGTACCCAGCATCGATGCGGAAAAAATGCGCAAGTACGCGCAGGAATTCGACACTTACTACCATGTGCGCATGCAGTATGAGCGCGTGAGCAAGGCGGTGATAGATAAGTGGTGTCGACGAGATGAGGTCATTGAGTACTTCTCCGCCGAGGACATGATAACCAATATTGTAACAAAATGCGAGCGGGAACTGCAACGCGATTCGTATGGCCCTAGTGTGCAAGAGATAACGGACAAGTTTTTGGAACGCAAGAAATTACTGCGAAAGCAATAATAGAAGGTGGAAGCACAGAGAAAAAAACATAAAAGAGAGGAAGGGATGACAAAGCAGTAGACAAGGGCATGCTGTTTCTGGATACATTTTCAAAAATGCAGATATGATAAAGATAGAGTTTAGTAGGTATTTTTTCATGGAACAGCTTATACAAATTTGAGGAATATATTTTTTTAAAAACCTTGTTGGAAAATTAGAAAAAAATTTGCATCAAAAATCGAAAATAAATGCGACCGGATACTGGCTCTTAAGGGTCATAAGTTTTATTTAAGAAAATTTTTTTCATTTCTATTTTTCTGGTACAAAGAAAAACTCCATAGATAGATATTAAAACCAGGAGTGCATCGCGACCTAGTGATGTATTGTGCCCTCTATTCTTCACAATACTTATTCTAAACCTAGCTCTCTCTGAAAGCTCAACAGCGCTATTGGGCGTCTTCTGTAGAGAGAATCACACTCGACAAGAATATGTAGCGGTGTCTCACTGGTCAAGTCGCAGCACCGACAAAGATCAAGAGACCATATTCCTAGCTTATACAGATGCCCTCTTGGTCAGCCGTGTTTTGTAAGGGTGCCATTTAGTATTGTAAGCTTCTCTTTTGGGCGGAATTGGTAATCTCTTCCTGTTGAACCTTCCCAGTAAACTCTTTACTTGACGCAATCCTTCCGAGCTATGCCAGTTCAGATTCTTAGACGTGTTCCTCTCCTTCCTGAGCTCCCCCTTAATAGTATTGGGACAAGAAAGGTCTAAGGGCCCTATTGTAGACACGGCTGCGGCCTCTCTTGCGAGACAGTTCACTTATTGTTCTTAGTCCTTAGTCAAGAAAAATGTTGGGTAGGGTTGCCAGTTTTTTTCGCGCTGAATGGGATTATTAAAGGTTTGCCTTCAAATAAAAGTAATAAAAACTCACGCATACATCTACAACTTTTACCCCAATATTTTTTTCTTTGTTCGTGCAAATCGTTCTACGGTAATAAAATATGTATTTTTTTTTTAGAAAATTTTTGGAAACTCGCAAGTATGAATACAATTTTCTCCATATAAGCGCGCTGTTCCAAAAAATGCGCTATGGAATGTCTTAAAAAAATGAATTCGAGGTTTAGAATTTGTTTTTTTTTTAATACAAAAAAACGATCATTCCTAATAAAATATGAATTTACTATAAGTAGTAAATTTATTTTTTATTTGGTCCACGAATCAAAAAACAAATTAATTTTATTTATGATTTGATTCTTCAAACCATCAACAAATTTATATTATTAAGGATTTGATACCACTTTTGATTCAAAAATCAATTTGATACATGCTATTATTTCATCTACTTTTTCTAAGTTTTTTCTCGTTCAAAAAATCGTTCTACCATAATAAAATATTCGTTTTCAACATGCAGAAATTTTGCAAACAAATTTTTATAGAATATCTTAAAAAAAAACTCAATGAAATATTCGATGTTGTCAGGTTCTGAAAATCACTCGGAACTGAAATTCACTTCCGAGTGAATTTCAACAAAAGGCACTATTAGAAATTCGAGGTTTCAAACTATTTTTTCTCCATTTGAATACCACTTTTACAGATACAGAATTTTTAATTAATTTTTATGCAAGAGATTAAACCGCTTCTTCCTAATAAAAAACGAACTTATATATATATACATATGTAAGTATGTATTCGCTCAAAATACACACTTTTAAGGCCACTTACTTTGACTTAGATGTGCCAACTTGTTGCTGAAGCTGTTGTTGCTGCTGCTGCTGTTGTTGTTGTTGTTGCTGCTGCTGTTGCTGTTGTTGAGTGGCAGCCGTATAGCTTTGTAATTTACCACCTGTTGCCGTTGGTGTTGTCCACTGTACGATTTGTGTCTGTTGTTGTGGTTGTTGCTGCTGCTGTTGCTGTTGTTGGTCCGTACCAGCGGTGCCAGTGGCGCCGCTTGTGGTAGTAGCAAAACCATTTTGCATTAGCGCCGCCAGACCAAATGCCGTACTCAAGTGATCTTCCGATTTGAAATTACCGCCTGTTGTTGCTACCACCACAGAACCTTCGGGTTGTTGTTGGATAACAACATTTGTCGCGCCAGCAGCTGTTGACACTACATTGGCCGCTGCATTAGCTGCCATTGCGGCATTGTTGTCATATTCGATGGTCGGTGCAGCGCTGCGATCGATCTGCTGTAGAAGGTGCAGCGGCGAAGTGCAGATGATAAAAGGAATGAGAAGACAAAACAAACGAAGAGAGATAAAAATGCGATAAGTAAAAAGGGGCAGTGAGACATTGTAGGCATATATACATACATATGTACATATATTTGTGCCTGTATGGGTATTTTGCTGCAGTGAGTCAGCCGCAAGCATTCGACTTACCAAATTCGTGAATGAACGCTCGCCTTCGGGTGCTGTGGGCCCAGTGGTCGCCACCTGCGCAACCGGTGTGCCCAATGTATGCAAACCATTTCCGGTCTCTTCCCCATATAATTTTCTTGTGATTTCTTTGAACATATCTTCATAAGCGGCCTCAACATTTGAGGACGGTATTAATGTTGCCATAGCTTATAGAATGCGCTCTCTGCAATGCTGCCACAACTACTACAAATACGGGCCGCCACAAACTGCAAGAAGAAAAGAGAAGAAAGGGATAGCGGCTTAGTAAGGTATTCTCATATGTACAGGATGAGAAGATTAATAAAATTGCATATACAGTGAGCAAAGAGAGAAAGAAAAAATAGTCATACTACATCCGCTTCGCTTAAATTTTTCCACTTCTACCCTCTTTGCGGCTTTTTGGAATTTTTTTAAAATTTTTTTTGTTCAATCTCTTTGGTAGGTACATAGTTACCCAAATGGCTTTTGAAAGTCCAGCCATTAACGACCAGCGTAAAAAACCCCATCTGCCCATTTTTGTGGCTTGTCATTTAGCCTTGTTTTTACTTTGTGTGTGTGTGTGCATGTAAGTGTATGTATTCATGCGCCACTTTGTGCCACTCAGGGCGCGGGCGGGCGTACAAAAGTTAAAAGTTACCAACGACAGCTGACTGACATTTCCAGGAATACCTACGCTGCTGCTGTTGCTGATACTTGATGCGCTGCGTCAAGGCAACACTAACAGCAACAACAATAGCAATAATAATAAAATTGAAAAAAGCACAAAACTGCAGTTTGCGTTAAGTGAATGGGAGAGTAGGTAGGTAGGTAGGGTACCCACATACATATTTGTCGGTGGTGGTGGTGATGGTGCTCGTGTTGCTGATGCCACTGGTGGCGATGGTTGATGTTGGGATGGCAGTTGCTGGCATTTCTGTGGAGTTAAGGCGAACATATCGACAGACAAAACAGTCACATTCCCCAGTGGGAAGCTGAGCACCTATGTACATACGATCTACAGCCAATACGCTGACTCATCATTCATAATTGTGGTGGCTGATGGGCTACCTATCCCCCTCTAAGCTTAGCTGACGAAAGATGAACGCGTCTCATTCCAAGTGTTGGACACCCACTCAAAGGTGTATCTACACATTTAGTTGAAAATTGCGAAGTGCTGAATGCAGCACAAAGCAAAATAAAATAGTTGCTTATATTTATTGTACTGCATGTACTATGTGCGCATGAGCGTGTGGAAAGAACGCTGTTGTTGTAGTGAACGAGTTAATTGAATTCTGCTACAAATTATGAAAATACCCTGAGGACTCTAAACGTTTCGCGCGCGCTCTCGGATCCGGATCAGGAACGCCTTTGGATACGCAATTTCGAAGTACCGGAAGAGTTACCACTAACATTGAAAAAGAAAATTGCACGGAAAGAAACTCTATCGAACTGGCAAAATGCGATGGGTAGGTATTGCACGGTAGGAGGTTTAGTGGGTTAAAGTCTCACACTGACCGGCTATACAGGCTTTCGATGCTTCCTCCTCATACAAAAAGGTTACAGCGTTATCTTAAAGAGACTACTTTCTGATACGAATCTCCTACCAACAATATAATACCAAAAGCGGTGGATGGAATTAAGGCCACCTTCTCTTTTCTCCGGCGGCCTTATTTCACTTTTCAAAATGCCTGCGCAAAAATACTGTGAATGGCAGAGCCGGTGTTCGACTGATGAGGGTTATTTTTTACTAAACCCCGAATTAAAATTTTTTCTGCCAGGAGTCTGTAGAGGGCTCAGAGGGGGAAGGGCAACTTTTATTAAAGCTTAGACTCTGTTCTTTCTATTGGGTGGGGTTTTAAGTGCCACATCCGTTCCGCCACCCACAACAAAACCATTTTACAAATAACCGAACATTTCCCAATTCATTTTTCGATTGTTGCTTAGTTTCAGTTTTCAGAATGAATTAAAATTCCCGCGCGGTCTAAGGCCATAATTCACAGAGCTACCAAAAGCCATACCAAATTTTCAAGCCGCAGTGAATTCTGGGAGCGATCCAAGGCTTGGAGAGCATGCCCGGAAGCGAGAACGTAAGTGCACATTTTCTCAGATAGTCAGGCGGCAGGTTAGGCGCTCTCTTCTTCCTCGCCTAGATGGCAACTTGTCGAGGACTGAAGGAAAGAGTTGGGCACAATTTCTGATCAAGACGTAATTATCAGCCACAGCGCATGACAACATATCGACTCAACTGAAAATATATTGAAAATATGTTGAGATAGGGCGTTTTTGAACGAATTTTGAAATAAGGCGTTCTTCAATCAAATTTTGAGATACGGCGTTCTTGAAAAGTTTTCTGAGAAACGGTTTTTTCAGACTGGCTGCCGAGATAGGTGGATCTTCCACTCCACTTCCACATAGGACAGCGGATGACTGAACTAGCGAGTTACGGCTTTGCACAAAAAAAAAATATCCCACGCGGTGGATATGGGCGCCGCGCTCGTGAAAATCAAAAGCAGAATTAGTACCGAAATTTACCACTCGAAAGTTAAGCAGGTGTGGACCTGTACAGGATCGTCATGCACCTTAAATCAAGGCTCACATTAGCAATAAGTAAGAAATGGCCCGCATACTTTTCAGCAGATTCTGCCACAGCTGCAAGGACGTGGACTCAAAGCACGCAGTTGAATACTTTATCGGCGAGTGCACGGCCCCTGCAAGAGTGAGGGCGGCATAGCTGCGAAATATTTGAAAAAATTGCCATATTATCCCACAATAACTTAAGACCTGTCCCGAAACTATGTATAAAATCGTGTTCAAGTCTTTTCTAAGAAATTAAGCGGAGTTATCATTTTCACTAAACTACTCGAATCAAATCGATTATCTGTCGTAAGATACCCAACAGATCCTATATGCTGCGCATGCGCACTTAACTCAACTAACTTCACCAAAAAAAAACAAAAGACATTTCTTCAAACGCAAACGAATTTCACCACTACTTTTTATGACACCCCTTAAATCGCATACCTTTTCAATCAACACCAAAATCAGCGCCGCTTAAAATTCCTTCCCCGAATTCCAAACACCGCGCGCACATACATGCATACATACAAATCTTCAAAAAAGCACCTACATTTTCAGCTCAGGCAATCAGACCATTAGCAACAGCATGTAGGACGGATAAAAATGAAGAGCCATTCACTTTGCACGCCATAAACTCGGAAGACAAATTGTCAATGGGTTACGTGGCTCACAATGTCTCCGTTTGCAACGGATTTCGATGCTCACCGATTCATACACTGCACGAGCGCGCGGTACAGCTTGTGTGTACATTAGGGTGAGTCGGAATTTCACCCCTTAGGCTTGTTCTATACCGAAAAAATACACTTCTGACTTTTTTTTTATTTCGAAATCAAAAACTATTTAGAGATCGCTCAAACTTTCCCGTGTATGTTATATAAAAAAAAACTATTTTTCGTAGAAATGATATAGAATTCCTGAAAAAAAATATTTTTTGATCGCAAACTCCGTTTCTCTTCAGGAGACTACCTATAATAATACCCAATTGTTTATTTAACCATCTTTTAATTTCAAATTTTTTTATTGGTTCTCCAAAAACCCCAAAAAATGCAATGGGGAGACCCATAAAAAATCGCTAGTATTTAAAAATTATAAAATAAGCAATTGATTATCTATTATTGGAAGTCTCCTGAAGTAAAACAGGGTTTTCCGATCAAAAATATTGATTTCCAAGAATTCTATACCATTTCGACTAAATGTTTTTTTTTCATATAAAACACATGAAAAATTTTGAGTGATATCTAAATATTTTTTGATTTCGACATAATTAACCGGGGGTGTGAGCATTAAAATTCCGACTTTACTTTTATCGCATGTATTTTTGAACCACCCTAGTGTATATACTCTGTTTTTTATTATGGTTGCCGGCACTCTTTTTAATGCTTGCATGGCCATAGTGTTCAGCGTCTGCGCCTGCTTTTACTGGTTCTTGTAGTGCACCGCCGCCGCTGCTGCTGATGCCGAAGCCTCTGCCGCCAAATGAGTCAGAAGACCGGTGGAGATTGAAAGTAAAGACGCCATAGTCCAACACAGCCGTGGAGCGATCACTTTTATTTTTAGGCTTGCATTTTTAATGTTTCCTTCGTTCAACGAGTTCTTGTTTCTAGCTTAACCAAACAAATAGGTAGAGTCTTTCACTAAAGCAAGTTGAAAATGAAGTCAGGTATCTTACTTTGTGTCCTCGATGCAAGCTCCAACTTGTTACTGCGCTGATTTGAAAAAAAAAAATACATATGAAAAAAAGTAGTTTATGTCTACCTCATCTGCAACGGCAAGACGCATCATCGCACACAAAGTGGGTGGATACGAGTTGATAGAAAATATTAAAGCTTGTAACATGCAAGAAAAAAAAACAGAAGGCGAGCAACGAAAAACGGTAGACGAAAAAGCGCGCCAACTTTTCTGTGCCACAACTGTCTAACGACAAGCGCAAACAAATGCGCAGCCAAACAAATGGCTTGTTAGCAAAGTTGTCGCCAAGTGCCGCACAGTCCACACAGGCCAATTGGCATAGTCGTCGGCCACTCGCAATCGCTGCAACCCACAGCGCGTAAGGCGCAAAAGCAACGTAAAGTCAGTCACCAGAGTCACCAATCGCCACAGCCACATTGCTATGTTGCATATGGCCCATTGCGGCCTGACATTTGTCGCCCACTTTGGCGACATTGTCTTCATTTCGATGCTGCTTCGGTCGGTGCTATTGCGACAGGCAAGCCGCACACACATGCATACACACTTTTTTGTAGCGTACCATCATCGAAACGTGTTCTCCCCCTCAAACAGCATTTCATATATATATATATATTTTGTTGTTTGTTTTGCTTAACTCAAGTGCTGTTTTGTTTGCTTAAATATTTGTAAGTAGTGAGCGCATTTGTGTATGTGTGCGTACTTTTTGAAGTGTCCCCCTTTTCGCATTTTCATTCGGTTTTATTTGCCCATATTCCTCCGGTCTGTTGCCTGCCTGCCTGCCAGCCAGCCTGCCTATTCAGCAGTTTATTAGTATGACGCGGCACACACCGTGTGGGGGCGTTTGGTGTTTCGGCGGCAGCACTAAAGTTGGGCGTCGCGTATGTCGCACCGACAAACAAACTGACTATTTTACAAAACACAACGACTTATTTTATTTAATTTATTTGCAATCACTGGGTGTTATGTGGCATTTTGTGTGGCT